TTATTATACAACACCAAAATTAAGTCCGACAAGCAATTGTGTAAAAAGGACACCAAAGTAATTTTTCGACGAAATTTTCAAAATTCTTAGAACTAAATTTACAGACTGTCCACCGAATTACTAACAAAACTTTGTAAAAAAATCTTGTATTTATTGACTTAAAGACGCCAGAATTTATTACTCCTTTGCAATTGCTTATAAAGAAGCCTCAACCTTTAAAAAGAGGCTATAAAAGTACCATGAATAGGCAAAAAATTGGAAACGAACTAATCGAAATACCTTCACAAGTTCCTACACTAGACATTCATTGATTTAATAATAATTTGTTTAAATTAATTACTCAGCCCAGATGTTTTTAAAATTAGCCAACGTTTCGCACCAACATAACAATTCATACACAAAACTTTTAAAAAAATCTTAAAATTACATTTTGCCGGCGAACCGCAGAATTACACAATTTTGTTACAAATACTTAATTTTATTGATTAAATGTCTCCAGAATTAATGTTTGCAATTGCTTATTAAGAATCTTTACAGAGGCTATCAAAGTACCATGTACTAAAGAAAAAAAATCGTAGAAAAAGCACTAACCAGCGAAATTCAGATATAATTTCAGCAGATACTACACTAGACATTCGTTGTTTTAATTGTAATATGCTTAAAATAATTTTGTGCCCCGGGTTTTTTATACGCTCAAAATTTCGCAACAATAACATAGTTGGTGACAAAGTTCATAAAATCTTATAATTTATTCTTAGCTGTGGAAAACAACCTCTTTATCACTAATTTCTCGAATAAATTAAAATAGAGCTCTAGAGTTAAGTTCTGTTTGCAATTTTTAATTCAGAACCCTTTACCTAATCAAATTATCCGATACCAAAGTCGCACAAAATGAATTAATTTGTGATTTGCAATTTTTAATTCAGAGCCCTTTACGTAGTCAAATTATCCTATACGAAAGTCGCACAAAATGAATAATGTGCAGAATTTTCTGTATTAGACATCTATTTTAGTAATTAAAAAAGTAATTACTCGCTAAAATATTGCCATAATCGTACAAGGTTTTGCTCGAGAAGCGCAGATTACCGACACATTCAAAATATCTTATAATGTATTCTTACCGACGGACGACAGAGTAACACTTCCTTACAAATACTTTATATATGTTGATGAAACAGCTTCAGAAATTGTTACTCTTGGAAATTGTTTATAAATAGTGTGTACGCTGCACGTGAATATCGGAACAACCTGTATAAAAAAAGAAAAGGCCGAGAAAAAGTACTATTCGTCGAGAAAGAGAAATGTTTTATTAGAGGTCTTTATTACACTTCTATTTTTTAATTAATATGTTTAAGTTAATTACTGTCATGTTGCTGTTAAAACTGCACAATGTATTAATGAATATGTTCTTTAATTATTGCCATCTTAATTTGTGTATACTTTGGGGATATTAAGAATAATGCCATTTTTTGCTGTTAGCATGCCATCAAATTGTTGAACATCTTTCATTTATTCAACCTCCAGATCTTTCTGGCGTTCATGAACTTGCATACATCAACGTCATTTTGCCATGCATATCAGAAACCGTATGTAAATTAAAACTTGTAAAAACCTTCCGAACTCAGACATCATTAACCTACAAAGAAAATTATATATATTTTCAACTATTAACCCTTCAGCGTGGTATGCCATTTGTAAACGGCAATTTCCTTTTTTTTTTTTTTTTTTTTTTCTAAACGCGGTATGCCGTACCTGGACGGGTTGGATTTTTCTTTCCATTGGTGGTAAGCCGTCTCAAGACGGAAGGAACCTTTACCTGTTTCTCCTCTCATTTGCGATGTGCAGTCTACAGACGCCAATCGCTTGGCGATGCCGTGCAAGGACGCTGGCAGTGTGTCACGGCGAGTTTTCGGCTTCTTTTCGTGTGGTTTTTGATACAAATATTCTAATATCGAAGTGTTTCTATTTTTAAAAAAAAATTTTTGTTTAGAAATAATTAATTTACAATACAGCGTCTTCTATATACTACACATAATATTAAATTATTGCGACTGTCAGACATACTATTAATAAAACGACACAAATTGTCTTAATTTTAATACAGCCATTGTTAAATTAGGGCCATACGTCATGGATGGTCAATTACTAAAACTCCCCATCATTTGCTACGATGTTAGAAAAACAGATTTTGTCGAAACATTATGTTTGAACAGAAAAAATGTTTCGAAAATATTGCTGGAAAAGAAATTGAAGGAGGAGTATATCGCCCAACACTCGGGTCCCGTTTCAGTGTTGAAATAGATGGGTAAAAGGCTGTTTCTACGATAATCACCTAACACGAGGATGAATTTAAAACAGTCATTACGAAGAGAAAAGAAGAAATTAAAAAACCGTGTACTTCTTGATTACAATAAATACATGCGAAGGGTAGATCTGAATGATCAGTACTTGCAAACATACCTCATTGAAAGGAAGAAAAACTGAGTTAGTAATTCTGTGGCTTGCCAGTAAAATGTAGTTTTAAGAATTTTTTTTAATTTTGTGATTGAATGCAATGTTCGTGCGAAACGTTGGCCGATTTTAAAAACAACTGGGCGGAGTAATTAATTTAAACAAACTATTACTGAATCAATGGGTGTCTTGTGTAGGAACTTGTAAAGTTATTTCTGAATTTCGCCGGTTAGATGGTTTTCTAGGATTTTTTTGTTGTGTACATTGTACTTAGCCACTGTGAAGATTTAGGCTCCTTTATAAACAATTGCAAACAGTAATTAATTATTGAGGTATTTAATTAATAAATATTAAGTATTTGTAACAAAATCGTGTAAGTAATTTTGTGGTTAGGCAGAAAAATGTAATTTTAAGATTTTTTAAATTTTGTGAGTGAATTGTGATGATGGTGCGAGACGTTAACTGATTTTAAAAACATCTGGACAAGGTAATTAATTTCAACAAATTATTATTAAATCAATGGGTACCATTTGTAGGTACTTGAATTTTTTTTTAATTTCGCCGGTTAGATGTTTTTCTATGATTGTTTTCTCTTTACTACATGGTACTTCGATATCCTTTGTAAAGATTTAAGTTTCTTTATAAACAGTTGCTACCAGTAATTAATTCTGGAGACATTTAAATAATACCTGTATGCCTGTACAGCATGGGTGCCCCTACCGGTAGCATCGTTGATCGATTCTCAAACCCATCATCAATGCTACTCCTGTATGCCCTCAGCTTCATAAGAGCACACGAACGTCCTCGCCCGCACGGCCAGTGGTACTTTAAGGCGGTGTCTCCTGGAGGAGGACTACTCGGAGTAATTAATCTAAACAAGTTATTAATAAATCAATGAATATCTAGTGTAGGAACTTGTGAAGGTATTTCTCAATTTCGCCTGTTAGTTCGTTTTCTATGATTTTTTGTGTTTTGTTTCGTGAATGGTACTTAGATAGTCTCATTGACGATTTAGGTCTCTTTATGAACAATTGCTAGGAGTAATTAATTGTGGAGCCATTTATTAAAGAAATGTAAGGTATTTGTAACAAACTGATGTTAATAATACTGTGGTTCGCCGGAAAAACGTAATTCAAAGAATTTGTTTTAAAAAATTGCGTGATATTACGTAGGTGTGAAACGTTGGCTGATTTAAAAAATAATTGGACGTAGTAATTGATTTCAACAAATTAGTTATAAATCAGTGGAAATCTAGTGTAGAAGCGTGTGAAGTTATTTCTGAATTTTGCCTTTTAGTTCGTTTTCTATAATTTTTTGTTTGTACATGATACTTTGATAGCCGCAGGTCTCTTTATAAACAATTGCAAGAAGTAATTAATTCATGAGTCATTTAATAAAGAAATATAAGATATTCGTAACAAAATTATGTTAATAAGATTGTGGTTCGCCGGGAAAATGTAATTGAAAGAGTTTTAAATTTTTGTTGCGTGATATGTTGTGTAGGTGCGAAACGTTGGCTGATTTTAAAAACAACTCCACGGAGTAATTAATTTAAACACGTTATTGATAAATCAATGAATGTCTAGTGTAGGAACTTGTAAAGGTATTTCAGAATTTCGCCTATTAGTTCGTTTTCTGTGTCATTTTTGTTTTATAGACCACGTTTATAGCTTCGGTTGAGGTTGAGGCTTCTTTATAAACAATTTCAAAGTAGTAATAAATTGTGACGTCTTTTAGCCAATAAATACAGGTATTTTTTACATTTCCTTCGTCATTCGGTGGTCTATCTGTCAATTTAATTCTAAGAATTTTGAACATTTCGTCGTTGAAAAAAGACTTTGGTGCCCTTTTTAAATAATTGCTGGTGACTTAATTCTGCTGTCGTATGGTAAAAATATATACTGAATTTACATGTATTTAGTATACGGAAATTTTTGTGGGTCAGTAAGGAAACATTTGGCGATTTCTTCCATATATTGTGTTTTGGTCTTTTTTTGATTTTTTTAAATTACGTTTTATAATTATGGTAAATTTGATAATTAAATAGTAATAATATGTATACTTTCTTGTTAAAGTTTTCTGATATTTTCTGCTCTATTTGGTTCTGTGGCTAGCTAGCTTCAGTTTAAAACTAGCTGATCCTCGATTTTTAAAAAATGGCTGGCGTAAGTAATTTTAAGTTATGATAATGATTAATTAATTAGTATTAAACGATAGCATGTAGTTTGTTGTGGTCCGCTATGGGTGGCTAGCCAGCTTCAGGGAGGTTCACTGGAAATAACTAGAGGGAACCCCCC